AGGTAACATACAAGCCAAGAATTTCCCCACTTTGGGTCTGATCCAACATCCACTGAAGTCATCAGAAAGACTTCCTTTGACTGTAATGATCTTGGATGAGGCCCTTAACCCCTGGCCATTTGCAGCACCCTGCTGAGCTTTAGGTCTCTCTATGGGAGCAAAGTATTGATCAAATGCAGTTTGTATCAGTTTTCAGGTTGTATCAGGGAATGATCTGGGGGGCTCATACCATAAATAGCTAAACACTCCTCAGTTCCCCGCTGCAAACAATGTGAGTCGAGACCCCTCTGCATCAAGGTGGATCAATCCCCAATTTACCTGGCTTCTATTTGAAAGCAGAGGCTTTTCATTACGCTCTTTTGGATCAGGAATTAAAAGCTCGCCTGGTCTGAGGTTCAGAGTCTTGCTAGATTAGCTTGTGGACCACTGGCAAAAAAGCCTTCAGGGTCTCATCAATGCAGCTGGATGAATACTTCTGAAATATCAAGGAAAACATTTTGTGTGTGTTATTCCAACCAACTTATCGAATGGTTGGCATTTTTTCTTTACAAACAAATTGAAATTGACACTTTTTTAAAGAAAAAAAATCTGCAAAAATATTTGTGACCTTTTCAACCAGCTCCCAGACTAGAAATGAATGGGGAAACTGAGGTACCAATGTTACGGTGATGTGCCAAAAATTACACAGTAAATCTGTGCGTGCGCCAGGTATCCGAAATCCTAGTTCTCTGGTCCATTGTTTATAATAATAATTGGCCGAGCTGTCTGTCTGTACTGTGATAGCTTTGAAAAACACATTGGATCAATTCCAGAATGTCAGGGGATGTTCTAGGCATCACTGGGCAGAACCCTATTGATTTTCAGGACAATCAGAAAACCAGAAAAGCCTGATTTCCATTAACACCACCGTTGGGTCACTCAGGATACAGTGGTGAGAGTTAGGGACAGGGTTAGAGTTATGGGCCCCTCATCCCACTCTGGTCAGCTATGGTTGCCAACTTTTTGACTGCAGAAAACCGAACATCCTTGCCCCACCCCTGCCTGGAGGCCCCGAATCTGCCCCCCCCTTTACCGAGGCCCCCCTGTTCACTCCATCCCCCCTCCCTCCATTGCTTGCTCTTCCCCACCCTCGCTCATTTTCACCATCCTGGGGCAGGGGGTTGGGGTTTGGGAGGGAGTTTGAGCTCTGCCTTTGGGGTGCAGGAGGGGGCTCGGGGGTGGGGCCGAGGGGTTTGGAGTGTGGGACGGGGCTCCGGGCTGGGGCAGTGGGGATTGGGGTGCGGGGTAGTGTGAGGGCTCTGGCTGGGGGTGCGGGCTCTGGGGTGGGGCCGGGAATGAGAGATTTGGGGTTTGGGAAGGGGCTCCAGGCTGGAGCAGGGGTTGGGGTGCAGGTGGAGCTGTGGGGTGTGGGCTCTGGGAGGGAATTTGGTGCTGGAGGGGGCTCAGGGCTGGGGATTGGGGTGCAGGAGGGGGTTCGGGGTGCGGAATCCGGGCGGCTTTTATCTCAGGTGGCCATGGAAGCAGCTGGCATATCCAGAGGCAGATTACGGTTTTGTGGGGCCCTGGGCCACTGCAAGTGGCGGTCCCCCCAACCCCTGGCGCTCCTACTGAGGAAATGGGGTCAGGCCTGGGGGCTTGCCCTGCTCTGTCCCCTGACGCTCCTGTCGGGGAGTGGGATCCGGCCCAGGGGCTTGCCCCGCTCTGCCTGCCTGGTGCTCCTGCCACCACGACAGGAATGCCGGGCAGAGCGAGGCAAGCCCCCATGCCCCAACCCTGCTCCCCGGCAGGAGCGCCGGGCGGGTGTGGGTGCAGCGGGTCAGGGCACAGGGGCGCCCATTTTTCCGGAGCCCCCCCAATTGGCCAGGGCCCCTGGGTACGGGCCCCGTTGGCTAATCCGCCACTGGGCATGTCCCTCTGGTTCCTAGGTAAAGGACCAGCCAGGGGGCTCTGCACTACCCTGTCCGGCCAATGGGAGCTACAGAGACAGCGCTCGGGGCGGTGCAGCATGTGGAGCTCCCTGGCTGCCCCTCTGCCTAGGGGCAAGAGGGACACCGCTGCGGCCAACTGGACTTTTAACCGCCCTATCCTATCCTATCTTCCTATCTCCTAGAACTGGAAGGGACCTTGAAAGGTCATCAAGTCCAGCCCCCTGCCTTCACTAGCAGGACCAAGTACTGATTTTGCCCCAGATCCCCAAGTGGCCCCAAGGATTGAACTTACAACCCTGGGTTTAGTGGGCCAATGCTCAAACCACTGAGCTATCCCTCTGGTCAGCTGTGCTGACCAGAGCTGCCAGGGTCCCTTTTAGACCAGGCATTTCAGTCGAAAACCGGATGCCTGGCAACCCTATGGTCAGCGCCCCCCACCACTCCCAGCTGGGCCCTTCAGGTCCCCATGCCAGCGGGCCCCTGATTTCCTGCTCTGGGCAGGAGTGAGGCAGTGTGACCTCACAGAGGCCTGGGGAACAGGGAGGGGAGGTCCCTGGATACAGGGGTGTAGCACTGAGCTCACAGGGGAGGGGAGCAGGGTCCCTGGATACAGGGGTGTAGCAGTGAGCTCACAGAGGCCTGGGGGAGGGGGGCAGGGTCCCTGGATACAGGGGTGTAGCAGTGAGCTCACAGAGGTCTGGGGGAGGGGGGCAGGGTCCCTGGATACAGGGGTGTAGCACTGAACTCACAGAGGAGAGGAGCAGGGTCACTCTGGGTACAGGGGGTGACCTCAGAGGCCTGTGGCTGGGGAACAGGGCCGTTCTGGATACGGGGTGAGGCAATGACATTAGGATTAGGTTAGGATGCGCCACTTATCCCACTCCATCTGGGACCGCCAAACTGGGACCCTCATCAGGGGACAAGAGGCTGTGGGGAGGTTATTAGCGCAGACAGCAACATCTGAAGCATTCCTGGGTGAAGTAGGGCTTCAAGGCAAGATATGAAGGGGGGGACGGGACGGGTGGCTCTGAATCATAGAATCATAGAATATCAGGGTTGGAAGGGACCTCAGGAGGTCATCTAGTCCAACCCCCTGTTCAAAGCAGGACCAACCCCAACTAAATCATCCCAGCCAGAGCTTTGTCAAGCCTGACCTTAAAAACCTAAAAGGAAGGAGATTCCACCACCTCCCTAGGTAACCTATTCCAGTGCTTCACCACCCTCCTAGTGAAAAAGTTTTTCCTAATATCCAACCTAAACCTCCCCCACTGCAACTTGTGACCATTACTCCTTGTTCTGTCATCTGCTACCACTGAGAACAGTCTAAATCCATCCTCTTTGGAACCCCCTTTCAGGTAGTTGAAAGTAGCTATCAATCCCCCCTCATTCTTCTCTTCTGCAGACTAAATAAGCCCAGTTCCCTCAGCCTGTCCTCATAAATCATGTGCTCAGCTCCCTAATCATTTTTGTTGCCCTCCGCTGGACTCTTTCCAATTTGTCCACATCCTTCTTACAGTGTGGGGCCCAAAACTGGACACAGTACTCCAGATGAGGTCTCACCAATGTTGAATAGAGGGAAATGATCACATCCCTCGATCTGCTGGCAATGTCCCTACTTATACAGCCCAAAGTGGGAATCTGTTCCAGGCATCTGGATGGGTGAGGGGGGCAGCAGGTAAGAAGCTAAAGGTGGGAGAAGACTATGGAAGGAACTGCACCAGGCCTAGCACAATGGGGGTCTGGTCTATGATATGGGTTTCTAGGTGCTACTGCAATACGAACAATAATAGCCTGTACCAGGTTAGATACCATGGGGCTAAACCACCTGGGTTCAGTCCACATTAGTGTGTGTGTCCATTGGGCAGCTGCGCTGGCTCTAGCTCAATGGTGCAGGAATTTTTGATGATTGCCAGGCTAGATGCAGTTCTGGTGTCTCTGCCATGGACACCCCAACCCTGCTCCCCGGTGCCTGGCAATGGCCTCTCTAGCAGTTGCGGCCTGAGTCTAGAAGCTGCCTGATAGCTACAGAAGGACCTAGGCCCTGATTCTGGCCTTCACTGTGGCCCATGTACCCCAGCTCTGCAGGAGTAAAGAAGCCGCATAGCCAGTAGCCCCTGGCCTGGCTGCTGCAGAGCCAGATGAATGGCTCAGAACGTGCAGCTCCCAGCACGGGGCATAACTGTGGGAGAGGGTGTTTTGATATTTTTAACTATTTGTAGCGCCTAGGAACCCCAGTCAAGGATCAGGGCCCCATTGTGCCAGGTGCTGTACAGAGCAATAACAAAGAAGACAGCTCCTGCCATAGAGAGCAATCACAACCTACAATGGTGGAAGTGCCCTCTGCACACTTCTTGTTGCTGGAATGGGGATTTGGGTACCACTGCAGCTAAGCATAAGTTAGAGCAGCCCTCTGGTTGCTCTAGCTTGTGCCAGGGGCTGACCCACTCCCTGGAGGGCCTCAGACTCAGGCAGGAAGGTGGCATAGGGCTGCTTTTCTCTTCTCCCCATCCTCTAAGCTGCACGGAGTTTAGCTCAGCCGCCACCCAAGGGTCAGGACCCTAGTGCCTGACCCTGAAGGAACTTGGCCTGGAGTCAGTGGGAGCTGTGGGTGCTCAGCACTGCTCAGGGACTGCTGAGAGACCTCTGATTCCTTGGGTGCTTTGACTGGAGAATGCAAGGGAACAGTGTGTCTACAAATTAAAAGCGACAAAGGGGAGGGGGAGAACTCTGGGCTGGGACAAAGGCATTCAAAGTCAGCCGTGTCTGGGGAGTGGGGCATGTCCTGTGTGTTGGCAGTGCAGACATTGCGGGATCTCTGGGTGAATTCATAATTTTGATCCAAAGGAACAAAACGAAAACTTGGCATCAAAATCTCCTATCTCTTCTCAGTGCAAACACACTCCTGCAGGGACCATCAAAGCTTTCGGCAGCGGCTGTGCCCAGGCAGGACAGGGTTAGTGACCGAGAGGGCAAACTGGGCAACGGAGCAAGAGTCCAAGGCCAGAGGCACAAGTTACCGTCTATTATCACAGGTCGTCAAGGGGCAAGGGCCGTACCAGACAGTGCCAGCCACGCACGGGGGCGGCTGCTCCCTGCCCAACACCTCTGCCACAGCACTCTGGCTACAATGCCCTGTCCTTCCAGCAAAACTGGTCCTGCCTGGCCTCCTACATGCTTCCTGCGTGTCTGAAACCCATCAGGGCTGCCAGGGAGCAGTCCCCTTTAAGAGGTGGAGCTTGCAGCCTGGCACAGGAAGATCAAGTCTGGAATGAACTGCCTTGGTCGGAGGAGGTTGCAGACAGAAGCCAGCTGGTCAACACAGAGGAGACCATGAGTGGCAGGGTGGGAGATCTGAGCCCCAAGCAGGCAGAGGCGTTAGCCAAGGTGAGATCTAGCAACAGTCCCTATTCTTCAGCAATTCTGATTACTTCCTCCACACCTCCTCCAGTGGGGGAAGGGCGGTCTGGAGGGGGTGTTAATTTTCTCCCCGAGCATTGTGCCTTTGAGATGCTGGGATCCTGCAGTGATGCGGACTGTATAAGCACCTAGATAGAAGCAGGGATCTTAGAGGGGTGCAAGGGACTGGGAGAAAGCGCATCTGTGCCCCCAGGCTGACCGGGAGGCAGTTTACCTGACCTCACCCGCAGGCTGTAAATGAGATTTCAAATCTCCCTGCACCCAGCTTTCCGCAGGACTAGGGTGACCAGATGTCCCATTTTTAAAGGGACAGTCCCGTTTTTTGGGACTTTTTCTTATATAGGCACCTATTACCCCCCACCCCCTGTCCTGTTTTTTCACAGTTGCTATCTAGTAACCCTACACAGGACCATCCTGCGAGGAGATTTCTCCCGCTCCTCAGCACCCAGCACTGTGGGACTCGGGTGCCCGGAGCAGCCCAGGCAGGCTCCAGGAGCTGACTCACACAGGAGCCTGTTTGGGGAGTGAGTGCCAGTCCCAGCCGTGATTAGCACAGAAAGCGTTGGCAGAGGCATCGGCTCATGGGAGCGTGATCATGCTGGGTTTCTGGGGGCTGCTGAGCCTCTAATGAGCTCCCTCTAGACTGCAGAAGGGGCAGCGGAAGCTCTCAGGATGACTAGGAATAGGACCCCCCCACACCCTCCGTACCCTGAGATGTGTCATTAGGAAATGGGACACTGCTGGGTCCTGGAGGTGACAGAGCTGGCACCTCCACTGGGGCATGTGGTTGCCTGGCGACTAGCGGAAGGGACTGGACACAAGGGAGTATTCATGGCCTGTGTCTGGTGGAAAAGCCTCAGGGCCGCAGGCTGATTACTCGGCAATTGTTCCTTAAGCAGCTTCTGAATGAAAGGTGACTGAGTGCACAGCTGCGGGGTCCTCGCTGCACAAAGCACCACTACCCTGTTCTCCTGCAGGGAGAGGCTGGGAGCTGCCCCACAGGCCCCACCATTCCTGCAGTGCCAATTCCTCCCTGGACAGGAGTAGCTGGGCCTTTGCATAGTGAAGCCTAACGTCTTGTTCCCTGCAGCTCCTGGAGAGAAGGGTTTGGACTGGAGTAGCTCTGAGCCCCTCCACAGCCAGTGCTCCTGCCCCATCTCATAGTGCCTCTTGCAAGGCCAGACGGGAAGAAATGGTTTAACTCACATGGTTGCTTCTTTGCCCCTCTTTGTTCCTCTCCTTGTAAACCTTGAACTTTTCCTGCCTCTAGTGAGCTTTCACCCCCCTTCCCATCTTCCTCTCCCTTGCCCTTCTGCATGCATTTGCTCTTTCCTATTCTCTGTCCCAACGTGCACCTGTGGGGGCCTTTTATGAAACTGCTCTTCCTTTGATGCTAACTCAGACGCATCTGTGCTGAACTTAGGAAGGGGAGAGAGGGCTGAGGGGGATGTTAAAGGAAAAGGCCCCTGTTCTGCTATCCAGCATTGTTGGATCCATACTTACATACAACCCCCCACCAGTATTACAAATACTTGGGAAGTTTGAGCATTGCTGGTGGCAGCCACTGGCTCAGAGCTCCCTTTATGGAGCAAGGGAGTTTTCTCAGCTGGGCTGAGAGAACCTCTTCCCCAGTGTGTTCAGAGGGAAGAGCTGTCAGCTTTGAATGCGCGTTTATCAGTCTGGGGGAGCAAAACGTGGCTTTGTCATACAGCACATGCTTCAGTGTATGTACAGGCAGGTAGGGGCAGGGATCTGTGCATGTAGGCAAACTGCACCCACCCCCAATGAGCTCCGGCTAGCCCCCTTCCTGCAGACCCTTGAGCCAGGTGTGCAGCGTGAGCCGGAAGTTCCACCACAGGTGTAAATGGGGAAGGGAATTTTGGTAGCATTTTTACATGCACTGGGCATAGGTGCTAATGACGGCACAAGGTGGTGGAGAACCAGCCCCCACTGCATTTGAAGAGCACGTGTGCTATAGGGGTTTAAACCTGTTCCTCTAAGGAATAAAGAACAGCCTTGTAGGTAAGGTGTGCCAGTGGGTCCTGGGAGATTTGGAGTCTGTTTGCAGCTCTACCTGCATGGACTTTGGCAAGTCACTTAACCTCTGTGCCTCAGTTTCCCCAGCTATAAAATAGGGACAATTCTATTTTCCTACTTCTCTGGGGAAGCCATGAGTGTTAATTAGTGCTTGGGGAGCCTTAGCAGCCCTAGAAGTGCCGTGTGCGATCAACAATTCTATTTTGCATTCTTCTCATCAGTTGGTTTTCATGACTTCTCCTGTCAGTTTCAATGGAACTTTCAAGTTAAAATAAAAAGAAAGCGAGAGATGCTGGCTGGCAGGGAAACCTCTTCCCCCATCCCACTTCCTGGCATTCAAGGGAGAGGGAGGCTGTGGGTTAAGAGTGGGACATCCTAGGAGCTCTCTGTGGTGTGTTTGTGTGGGAGTGAGGGAGGGATTGCAGCTAATCATCATGTACAAGTCCAGGTCCTTCTATCTGTCTAGAAAGTAAACCAGTCCAAGTGACAGTAACTTAGGGCTGGTCTATACTTAGCCGCTAGTTCGGCGGCTGGAAATCGAACTTCCTGGTTCGAGTTATCGCGTCTGGTCTGGACGCGATAAATCGAACCAGGAAGTGCTCGCCGTCGACTGCGGTACTCCAGCTCAACGAGAGGAGTACCGCGGAGTCGACGGGGGAGCCTGCCTGCCGCGTGTGGACCGCGTCTGAACCGCGGTAAGTTCGAAGTAAGGTATGTCGACTTCAGCCACGTTATTCACGTAGCTGAAGTTGCGTTCCTTACTTCGACTTGGGGGGTTAGTGTAGACCAGGCCTTAGTGTAGAACTACATTCATAGCTCTCCTAAAGATCATCTGAAAGTCACCTCGAAACAGCATTCAAAAGTGGCTGCCTTCCCCATTGAAATCTGCATTCATCAGAGGAAGTCTCAGCTCCACAGATTTCTGGTTTCTGGTGTTAGACCCGGGAGCCTGATTCTTGCACCTTGCATGGCCATTGACTCCTGTGCAAAGTTTCTGGGCAGCACTTCACACACACCCTTTTTGCACAGGTGTCAGCGATCTCACAAGGGGCAGGGCAGGGGAGAATCCGATTGCACACTGATTTATTTCTGGATGCAGTTCAGTTGGTTTTGATGATCTGTTGCATCATTCCAAACAACGATACGTGTCTTCCTTTAAAGGATCATGGAACATGGGTCCCAGGATCCCAGCTCAGTAGCAACTAAGAGTCATTGTTGTCTAACAGCCGCGCAGGGCCCTCTGTGAAATGCATCGGTGTCCACATGAAACCCAGAATGATTCAGCCTCAGCAGAGATATGAAAGACTGCCTGGCCACAGTTGCCAACTTTCACATGGTAAATAAGCACCCTGACTTTCACAATAAGCCAAAAATCAAGCTAATGCCATTTCAAAACAAACCCAAAACAAGCCAATCCCTAAGAACCCCAACACTCGATGTGACTAGATCCCCCCGGCGTGCAGTCTGGGACTTTGGTGGGCCCACTGTGCACCCCTGACTCTCTCTCCCCCCCCTTGCCCCTGCTTGCCCGCCCCTGTTTGCTGGGACCCGATCAAAAAATAGAAGCAACAAGCTACAAGCCAAAAACTAGCCAACAAGCAACTCACAAGCCAATTAAGCCAAAAACAAGCCCAATTTCTGTGTTTTTTTCCATGGGTTTGGCATGTCTGTGCCTGGCCCAGTGACTGAATCCTCCCTCACACCAAGAGGTGAATTCCTGGCACATTGGCATAGTAGTGAGGGGGAAGGGGGCAGTTTATCCTGTCGCTGGCTGTTTGACCTCTTCTGTGGCTAAATGTAGGGCCTGCAGGGTTGTCAAGCCAATACCTTGCGCTACTGCTTACAATTGATTTTAAATGTGTAGACACAAAAACTTCAAACAAACCAAGACCCCAAAAGACAGGCTGGGGATGTCCAAGTCTCTCCCTTTGAGGTGAAGCTGGAACCTGCCATGTGCCATGTCAGGGGCAATTTGGAGACTGCTCTGCCTTTTTGACTCGGGTTGTAGCAGGACAGAGGAGTTGCTAGCCTGGAACAGACCCGAGGTCCCTCTAGTTCAGTGTCCTGGCTCTGGCAGTGGCCAGCATCAGATACTTCAGAGGCAGACATCAAAACCCTTCCATAAGGGACAATAATGCCACATTTTCCAAAGTTGCCTCCCAGACTGTGGGCGGTGAGAGATCTGAGGCCAAATTTCCAGGGATGCTGGGGGCCCAAAGCTCCCTTGGTTTCAAATTAGGTTGGCGGTGCTCAGCACTTGGAAAATCATGTCTCAAATCAGCACCCAAAATCAGGGATGGTCTCGAAAATGTGGACCTTAAGAATAACAAGCCCATTGGGGACCATTTCTAGCCACAGATTTATGGGTGTGGGTTATACCTTGGAGCAGGAAGGTTGATCTCCTTTACACATTTTTATTCTTTCCGATCATCACTATAAACACCTTACACTTCTTTCAAAACCCTATCAAACTGTTTACCTCACCCGTGTCTTGTGGCAGCGAGCTCCAGAGATGAATTAGACATTTAAAGTGTTTCCACCTATCAGTTTTAGCTGTGATGCCTTTTAATGTCTTGCGAGGTCCCCTTGTTTTTATATTATAAGAGGCAAACTGGGACGAGATTAGTGAGGATGGAGGGGGTATTTTAGATGGACAGTCGAATTAGAGAGAGATGGATTTTAAGCACTGGGAAGGTTGGGGAAGTTTTGCCAACTGAGGAGTGTTATATTCTCTGCAGAGGGTCTGATCTGATGCATAGTTGCACATAATTTAAATCTCTATTGTGCAATATCTTTGGTTCAAGGAATCAGAGCTGGGGCACAGCATTAATTGACAACAGATCTTTGGAAATTCTCCTCTCCTGCTTCCCGGAGCTACTGCTGGGCTTTCATCTTATCCTCCCTTCGCACTGCTCCTCCGTGGTGCTGTTCTCAAGGCAAAGGAATTAATCCCAGATTTAATTACACCTAATTTCAGACCACAATAATCTAACCAGCCCCATTAAGAAGGGAAGGGAAGGACTTAGAGTGCTCTGCCCCTCTGAGATTTATGCTATTCATTGCCCTGGTGCAGCCGTGGCTGACCCTGGTGTGTGTCCTGGGAAGGGGGGGGGATCAGCTGACCTGCAGGCTCAGGCTTAACTCACACATCTGTTATTTGGGACTGATTCCTCCCCTGCCCTTTGCACCCCCATGTTGGGTTTGCCATTGACCCAAGGGCACCTGCTTGGGCTCCCCTGCTGCCTCTCAAACTGATGCCAATGTTGCGCTGCACAGCAGCCTGCAGGGGGTGCATGCATAGCGATTCCCAGCCATTAACCCCCCCGTTCTCCATATCTTGGGCAGGGGCCAGCTCTGTGATTCAGATGAGGATTGCCGGCCCAAGGAGAGAAATGCTGCCTCCAACACAAATTGCCCACATGCCGCTATCCACATGCCTTTGTGCCCTATGCTAGCACCTGAAGGTTCCCTTCAGGAATCCTAGAGACCCCTTTAGACCCCTAAAGATTGCTTTAATGCCTCCCCTTTTGGGAGGCTGAGATCAGGGCTACCCTGTAGCACTGACCCCCATTTCCCTTCCAGTTCAACTGTGCTGTTCCTCACTTGGCCAGAAGGAGCCACTGTTGAGCATGACAAGCATCCCCTCTCCCGGGGTGGGATGTGCTGCCCTGCCCTCAGCACTGCAAGGAATTAAACAGGCTCCAGCACCCCATCTGGCTCCCCTCACAGCCGAGTCCAGGGCTGAGCTGGTTAGTTAGCCAGGTGTAGGGAGGCCCCCAGTAGATTTCATGCTGTCTTTGGCCCCTCCAGGAAGCTCTGCCTGGGGTGGTTTGGGGAAGCGTTGCTCTGGACGGGGGAGTGTTGTGGTGACTGGCAGTCCAGCTAGGGCAGGAAGGCTTGATCCCAGAGGCGGCCCCGTGCACTCCCCCATGGACGGTCAGACCCTGGGTTAGGCTTATCTCACGGGGTCTGGTCTGGCTATGGAACCAAGCTCCCCATCTCCCCCCTGCCTGGGCTCTGTGCCAGCACTTCCCAAGGAGCACAGCGGGCTGAGTGACCAGTGGTCCTGCTTCTTCATTGCTCGCTTCCTGCTTGTGCCTTTAAACTGCCTTGGTTTCCCCCTATTCCCAGGGCAGTCTGGGCCTGGGCAGCCCCCAGTTTAAATTACAGGAGCCCCAGGGCTGAGGCCAAGCCCCCTTTTCCACCACATCTCTTATGCTGGCCAGGGAGTCCCCTTACGCAAGGGCTATTCCCAGGAGCAGTAACAACCCCGTTGCGCTGCCCAAGTGGCAGAAGTGTCACGGCACAAACAATCGCTGGGGAACGGTCCTTGATGAGCTGGCTCCTCACTGGCTCATGGCTTTGACAGTCAGGACCAAGGCCTTGATCTGGCAGTGGCAGCATGAAAACCAGAGCTGTGTGCCAAGCGTGATCGATGAAAGCACTGAAATGCCCTTGCAAATGAGAGACCCAAGCTGAAAGCAACTGGAGCCCCAGCCTGAACCCCAGGGCACTGAACCTCACGGGTGGGGATGGGTCACAGGACTGAAATATCAACTTGGGGGTGGGGGGTGCTGGGTGTCTAAAGGACATCAGCCCCACAGGCAATTGTACTGCGTAGGCTGCTGCGTGGCGTGGGGTGTAAGGAGCTGATGCCCCCTCGGAGTGATCCGTTAGAAAGGAGCAGCAGGGAAACACCCCACCAGCAAGATCTCCGGAGCTGCGGACAGGCCTGCTGGGGAGGTGGTGGAAGTGCCTCCCATGGGACCCTGCAGCTAGACTGGAGAGAGAACAACCCTGTTTCCAGCCCAGAGGGCTGGACTAGATGGGACCTAATGGGTCTCTTCCACCTCTACAGCGTCTTCCCTGAAACCCTGATCTCTAGGGGCAGGGGTACGTTGCCATGGTGAAGAGCTCCTCATTAGACAGCTCCTGCCCCCCCCTCCCCAAATTCCCCAATACTCCTTCTGTGCCTGCAGCCATCCTGGCCTGTGGTATAAGCGATGGCAGAAAGGGAGAGGGCCCTTCTCCCCCGCCCACAAGTCACTGCGGTCTGGGCATCTCCACTTGGGGCCCAAACATTGGGTGCAGGCCTTTTGCTGTTCTGCAGCCCCCAGCTCCGGGAGCGCAAAGCCCATGCAGGAAACACATCCTGCTGTAGACATGCTCAGCAGTCGCTTTGCCCTTCCGTCTTAGTGGTCGAGGGAAACAGGTCAGACTTGTGAGAGGCCTTGGGCAGATGGCAGGGCAGGCATGGGGCTGTCTGCGGCCTGGCAGCTGGGCACTTCCTGGGCAATTGCATGCAACGTACCCCTTGGGAGTCTACCTCCTCCTTGCCCCTGCCCTGACTGTGGGATCAACCTTGGGAGTCCCAGGGCCCAGCACCTGGGGATGAGGTGGGGCGGGTCATGGGGGCTGGGTGAGAAGTTCTGGCCTCTGCACTGAGACACTGAGCTTGTGGGCCCTGCGGGGCCCAGTTGGTGCCTCCAGCTTTGCTGATCCCGCACTGGGAAGTGCCCATGACGCTGTCCCTGCTCCTCTTCTCTCTGCAGTTCCGCGAGAACCTCCAGGACGTGCTGCTCTCCCTTCCCCATCATGACGACTACTTCCTCTTGCACTGGCTCAGAGGTAACAGGGGCTGGAGGAGGGAGGAGATGTGTTGTGGAGCCAAGCTAGCCCTAGTTGCCCCCCAGCACCCCGCCCCTTGAGCCAAGATCAGCCGCAGGCACTGAGCCACTGCTGGAGCTTTCTTCTTGTTCCCACTCCTGTGAGACAGGAAGAAAATGGATGGGCCTGAGTTTGCCTGGGGTGTTTTAGGTTTGCCCCATAGAGGGAGTGGGGGCGTGTCACCACTGAGCAGGGAAGGGTGGAAATGCCTCCTTGGGCACAAGAGGAGGGAATGGCTAGTGGGGGGAGATTCCCCTGCTGAGCTCCTGGGAGGAGGGGGAAGAAGAAATCCCTTAGCACCACTTTTGCTCTAGGATTCAGACCCCAGGCTCCAAGCAGCCCTGGGATATCGGGTTTATCTTTAAGCTGGTGGTTTCTCTCAGAGTCAGAGAACAATAGAGCAGTCTGACCCCCTGTGGGGGCGGTGGCAGAACAGGTAGGGCAGCCCAGGATTAGGGGCCCCACACACGTGGATGCAACACCTGCCAGTGTCTGGGTGCAATGGAAGATGGTTCAGGTGTGGGAACTGGATCGGGGGAGGGAGAAGCTGCTCTTTTGTCTGGGGCAGCTGCGGTTTTGGGTTACACACAATCCCTGTGAGCAGGCGCAGGGAGCTAGCCACATTTCTTGGTTGCATTAGCTGTGGCCTGAGCCAGCCCTGCAGCGGGGAACCCAGCTCTGTGAGAGGTCTGGGCCCTGGCCATGGCAGAGCCAGCCTGCTCTGTCTGGGGCATGAATGGGCTGACTTGGCTTGTGGGGGCACATGGCTTCCTGAGCACTCAGGCCTGAGTGTTTCCAGCCCCGCTGCTCCTCTCACATGGAGCCTGAGTCCTGGGGGGGATCCCCAGGTCTGATTCCCAGCTGGGGGCACCAGTGGGACACCCCACAGTTAGAGCCAAGCAGGGAACAAAGACTGACATCATCTGCAGGAAGCTGGGTGGGTTGGTACAGATCAGGCCGATCTCACAGGCCGATGAGGGGCCTTATCTTGGCAGGGGGTGGGGCAGTGAACTGTGAGCTCTGTTATCACAGAGAACTCCCTTCCTCCCATTTTCTCCTGCTATCTGTTTTGGAAAGTCCAAAATTCAGAGACTTGTCCAGCCCTGACCTGGGAGATTTCTATCCCCGTGCGGCTGGGCGGGCCCAGTGTGGCTGGTCCAGGCAATGCCAGATCCAGGGCAAGTCCCAGTACAAGGGGCTCTGTGGGTCCTGTCTGCTTGGCCTCAGTGTTAGGGGGAGGCTTCTAAAAGCACAGAGGGCTGGGGGTGCCTGCCTCTCCTTGACTGGCCCACCCACCCTTCCTACCTTTGCATAGCTCCCCCATAGGCTCTGACCTCCCAGGCTCTCACTGTAGCAAGCCCCAAAGAGGGGCCCTCCAAGATCAGGATCTTTCCACTTGGCCCCATGAAGCCAGGACCCTAAACACACCCACAAGGCTCTGAGATCACGCCTCTGGTCTAAGGGGGTGTGCGGTACCCCCAGCACCCACTGAGAGCAGGAGGGGCTGGGGGAATCAGTCTGTCCAAGCAGCGGGCTGCTTTTAGTTTATGGGTGGAGGGTTGTTCTGTAAGCACCCAGCTGCACAGCATGGGCCCAGGCAGCTTAGCCCCAAATTTACATTGTTCTGTCATTAAAGTACAGGGCTTTTTACAAACCTCCGTGTTGGGACCAGCATTATAACAAAAGGAACTCCTTCCCCTGCAGTGTCGGGGATCCACTTAGATGCCAGAGTAGGCCAACTGGCTTAGGACTCCTGCTTCCTATGCTAGAGGTCATGGGTTCAAATCCATCTGATGCCATGGGGTGGGGGAAGAAGAGTGCATGAATGGGGCAGTAACCTTAGATTAGGGTTACCATATTTCAACAATCAAAAAAGAGGACGGTGGGAGCCCCGCCCCCGCACCTCCCACTTCCCGCCCCCTGACTGCCCCCCTCAGAACTCCCAACCCCCCCCCGCTCCTTGTCCCCTGACTGCCTCCTCCTGAGACCCCCCCCATCCTATCTGCCCCCTAGGACCCTACCCCCCTACCTGTCTCCTGACTTTCCAAAACCTTATCCACACCCCCATCCCCTGACAGACCCCCGAGACTCCCACACCCCATCCAACCACTCCCCGCCCCCTGACAGACCCCCTCCCCAGAACTCCCGACCCATCTAAACCCCTCTGCTCCCTGTCCCCTGACTGCTCCGATCCCTCACCCCATCCCCGCCCCCTGACAGCCCCCCCAGAACTCCTGACCCATCCAACCCTCTCCCTGTCTCTTGACTGCCCTCTCCAGAACCCCCCTGCCCCTTCTCTGACCCCCTGGCCCCCTTACCGTGCCGCTCAGAACAGCGTGTCGGGCTCCACGCCGAGCCCGACACGCTGCCGCGCTCCCCCACGGAGCGCATAGCCCGGTCCCCACCCTCGCAGAGTGCTGCTGAGCGGCGCGCTGGGCAGCCGGGGGCGGGGAGGAGCTCCAGACTGCTGGAGGCCCGTTGCGAATGGCCGGCGATCTGCAAATGCAGGGAAGGGGATGGGGGGAGAGAGAGGAGAGGAGTGATCTGAAGCTGCAGGGGAGAGGAGGGGGGAAGCGGAGGAGGGGCTCTGGCTGCCGGAGCCCCGTGCGAGTGGCTCGATCTGGCTAGCTGCCCTGTCAGCCGTGCCGCGCTCTGCATGGGGGGGGGAAATCCGGACATTTACAAATTCCCCCCGGACGCTATTTTTAAACTCAAAAAGCCGGACATGTCCAGGAGAATCCGGACGAATGGTAACCCTACCTTAGATGGAAGCTGGTGTGTGTGAGGGCCCCCTCTCTGCCTGACCTGCAGCTGATCTGAGTCTGGTATAGCCCCAGCTCTTTCACTCAAGCTGCAGCAGCTCATGATTTTAGCTCAGGAGGTCACTGCTTCAGTGCCTATGGGCTGGCCAAGACTGCGTGGCTTTCACATAATGGTCCTTTTGGGTGGATCCACTTATGGGGTTGGGTCTTAACATGTGTATCTACAAAGCCGAGTAATCTGCAGTACTGGTTCCACACCCTGCAGCAGTGTGCCAATCCCATGTGTTAAACATAAATATTAAATTAAAAAAACCATAATTGCCTTTAAAATCACCAGACTTAATAAGCTTTCTGAGTAACTAGGTGGCTGAGGTAATATCTCACTGGACCAGCCTCTTTTGGTGAGGGACAAGCATTCAGGCTTCCACACAGCTCTTCTTTTGTGTAAGCTCAAAAGTGTCTCTCTCCCACCAACAGACGTTGGTCTAACAAAAGATATTCCCTCATCCCCTTTGGCTCTCCAGTATCCTGGGACCAGCACATCTGCACCACCACTGCATCCAATCAACTTTCTGTTTCTTTTGTTTGCCGTCTGCTTTCAGTACCTTTAGGGCAGGGGTTCTCAAACTGGGGGTTGGGACCCCTCAGGGGGTCACGAGGTTATTACATGGGGGGGTCGCGAGCTGTCAGCCTCCACCCCAAACCCCGCTTTGCCTCCAGCATTTATAATGGTGTTAAATATATTAAAAAGTATTTTTAATTTATAAGGGGGGTTGCACTCAGACGCTTGCTATTTGAAAGGGGTCACCAGTACAAAAGTTTGAGAACTTTAGGGGACATTGGGGTCTTTAGCTTTAGCTTTAGGGGACATTGGGGTCTGAGTGTCAGGCTATTCTCCACAAACCCAAGGACCAGAAACTTACTTAGGTGTGATTCTCACCTAATCACTTGACTTTGGAGGCTGGGACTTGCCGAAAAGACACCGAATGTCATGAGCTCAGGGATAAAGTCCTGACAGTTGGGGACACTGCCCCAGCAAACACTGCAGGGCTTGGGAGATAGCTGCAGTGCTTTTTCTAGGGCAGGTTTCAGAATAGCAGCCGTGTTAGTCTGTATCCGCAAAAAGAACAGGAGTACTTGTGGCACCTTAGAGACTAACAAATTTATTAGAGCATAAGCTTTCGTGGGCTACAACCCACTTCTTCGGATGCATATAGAGTGAAACATATATTGAGGAGATATATATACACACATACAGAGAGCATGAACAGGTGGGAGTTGTCTTACCAACTCTGAGAGGCCAATTAAGTAAGAGGGGGGAAAAAAAAAAAACGTTTGAAGTGATAATCAAGATAGCCAAGTACAGACAGTTTGATAAGAAGCAAGTGTGAGAATACTTACAAGGGGAGATAGATTCAATGTTTGTAATGGCTCAGCCATTCCCAATCCCTATTTAACCCTGAGTTGATTGTGTCTAGTTTGCATATCAATTCCAGCTCAGCAGTCTCTCGTTGGAGTCTGTTTTTGAAGTTTTTCTGTTTTAAGATAGCCACCCGCAGGTCTGTCATAGAATGGCCAGACAGGTTAAAGTGTTCTCCCACTGGTTTTTGAGTATTATGATTCCTGATGTCAGATTTGTGTCCATTAATTCTTTTGCGTAGAGACTGTCCGGTTTGGCCAATGTACATGGCAGAGGGGCATTGCTGGCACATGATGGCATATATCACATTGGTAGATGTGCAGGTGAACGAGCCCCTGATGGTATGGCTGATGTGATTAGGCCCTATGATGGTGTCACTTGAATAGATATGTGAACAGAGTTGGCATCGGGCTTTGTTACAAGGATAGGTTCCTGGGTCAGTGTTTTTGTTCAGTGATGTGTGGTTGCTGGTGAGTATTTGCTTTAGGTTGGGGGGTTGTCTGTAAGCGAGGACAGGTCTGTCTCCCAAGATCTGTGAGAGTAAAGGATCATCTTTCAGGATAGGTTGTAGATCTCTGATGATGCGCTGGAGAGGTTTTAGTTGGGGGCTGAAGGTGACAGCTAGTGGTGTTCTGTTATTTTCTTTGTTGGGCCTGTCTTGTAGGAGGTGACTTCTGGGTACTCGTCTGGCTCTGTCAATCTGTTTTTTCACTTCAGCAGGTGGGTATTGTAGTTTTAAGAATGCTTGATAGAGATCTTGTAGGTGCTTGTCTCTATCT